GTAATCCCAACCTTTGGGGGGCTGAAGCAGGATCCCAGCGAGTTTGAGGCCAGCCTGGGCTACATAGTGAGAACTTGTCTCAAAAAACCAAAATACAAAACAGAATAAGAAAACTCATAAGGCTCTCGGGCCACACCCACAGTGTGGAATCAGAGGTGGGGACTGGACTGGATGCGATCTGTCCCTTTCAACACTCACGCTGAAATCTGGTTGCAGCAGAGCAGCACTGAGAAGCCCTGGGGACCCAGGGAAAAGCATGGTTCCAGCCACACGGTGGTTGACACCAGAGGGCCTTGTTGTGATGGGGCTGCCCTTCCTGCTCAGCCTCTTTCTTGCCTGCCTGAAGTCCCCTGCTCCATGCCGTCCCTGGAAGCCAGGCAGACCAGACGCAAGCCTCCCGGATCAAGCACTAAAGTAAACACCTATTCTTTTTTCCTTTGTGATGCTAGGACAGAGGCCAGGTGTCACACATGCTGAGCAAGTGCTGTCACTGAGCTACATCCTCCATACTTTTTTTGAGACAGAGTCTCGCTAAGTTGCCCAGGCTGTCCCAGAATTTGCAATCCTCCTGCCTCAGCCTCCCAAGTAGCTGGGATGACAGACTGCACCACCACACCTGGCTGAACCACTAGTCTTTTAAAATCACTCCATCTCAGGAATTTTGTTACAGCAACAGAACATGGATTCAAACCCAGAGGGGGCCGGACAACGCACAACATTGTGAATGCACTGAATACCCTTGAATCAGATGTTTGGTGCGTTTTCAGTGAAGAACATCCATAAATAAAAATACAGATGTAACAACACTAAAATTGGGAATTTCTATTTAAAAAGAGACCATAACAAAGCTGTAAAGGAGACAACAATTTGGGAGAAGAAATTCACAGCGTTGAAAACTGACAAGGGAGCAAAGATCTACAAGAAGATAAAAGAATCCCCATAAAGCATCAAGAAAAAGGGGAGACAATACGGAGGACAGCCTGTGTGCGTGGCTGGTTACATTTTGTTGTTGTTGTTTTGAGATAGGGTCTAGCTGTGTAACCCAGGCTGACCTTGAACTCACTGTGATCCTCCTGCCTCAGCCTCCTGAGTGGTGGGGATTAAGGACGTGTGCCACCACATTTTCTATATGATCCATCCCACCCCACCCCAGTACTGGGGATTGAACTCAGGACCTTGAGCTTGCCAGGCAGGTGCGGTGCCACTGAGCTAAATCCCCAGCCCCTCACCACATTTTCTAAGATACCTGGAACAAGACCTCCTGAGCTGCGGGTAGAGCCCCTTGGGAGTGGATGCTTAGCATGTCAAGGCCCTGGGTACCATCCCCAGCACTAAAATAAAACTCTCACCTCGAATTTTTTTTTGTATTAGTGGTACTGAGGATAGAACCCAGGGCCTTTGCACTGAGCTACATCCTTGGCCTTTAAAACATTTTCTTTTTCTTTTTTTGGTACCAGGGATCAAACTCAGGTCCTTGCGCTTGTGCAGCAGGTGGCAAAACCAGAGCTAAATCCCCGGCCCTTTTTTAAAATTTTGAGATAGGATCTTGCTAAATGGCTAAATTGCACTGACTGGGCTGAATTTGCAATCCTTTTGTCTCAGCCTCCTATATTGCTGGGATTACAGATGTGCCACCATGCCCAGCTAGGCAGTTGTTAAAAATACGACAGTGACAGCCCTCCTGTGGAGAAGGTGGGTCTGTGGCAGTGCCGCTATATGACACCTGGCCTGCTGGTTCCCCTCAAGCATGCCAACTCATGGAACTTGCTCAGACCTCAGAGAGGCCACATGTCGGAGTGGCAGCCAACAGCCAGATGTGACAAGGAAGCCAGATGTGAAGAGGTCTCCAGGGCGGCCAGCATCTGGTCGTAACCACAGCAGTTCCCAAAGGAGGAGTCTACCTGAGCTCAGGCGACTGGAGCCAAATGGCATAATACGATATGTTTGTTTTGCCAGGGATTTAGCTCAGTGGTTCTGCCGCCTGACTCGAAAGTGCAAGGACCCGAGTTCGATCCCCGATACCAAAAACAAAACAAAAAATAAATAATATCACGATATGTCTGTTTCATTTATGTTTGGTTTTTTAAAGACAGGGTCTTGCTACATAGTCCAGGCTGGCCTCAAACTTCCTGGGATCCTCCTGCCTCAGCCTCCTGAGTGCTGGGATGACAGGCATGGGCCACCATGCCCAGCTGTGGGTGAAGTGCGTGGCAGCAGATTGAGCTGGTTAGAAACAGTTACCATGTAACAAAGCATAACGCATGCAGCAGTGGGTTTGGGGTGGAGTGGCTGACAAGAGGCCTGAGAAGCTCAGAGTAAAGCCCAGGGAGTGAATGCTACAGATGCAGGAGAGGAGAGGACTCCTATTTCTCTATGTGTAGGAAGAGATTTTGTCCACACTGTTGTTGTGATAATGAGAAGAAGAGGAAGCATAACCAGTGAACTCAGTGACCTAGTAAGATTCTGAAGCAGAGTAAGGAGCCAGGTGTGGTGTAATCCCAGTTCTCAGGAGGCTGAGGATCGCCGTGAGTTCAAGGCCAGCCTGGGCTACATAGAGAGACTCAGTTTCAAAAAAAAAAAGCTGGGAGTGGTGGTGTACACCTGTAATCCCAGAATTTGGGAGGCTGAACAGGAGGACTGCCATGAGTTCAAGGCTAGCCTAAACTACATAGTAAATTCAAGGCCAGCCTGAACTACGTAGAAAGATCCTATCTCAAAAAACCAAAACCATGGGCTGGGGATTTAGCTCAGTGGTTTCACCACCTGCTGCGCAAGCCCAAGGACCCGAGTTGATCCCCGGTACCAAAAAA